GAAAACCTTTGAACGTCCAATGATATTTAACCCTCTGCACTCGGAAGTTTTTCATTAGAAATATTTTAACATTTTCTGAGATAAAGGCGATATTTTGTGAAACTAACTCGGAAAGAAATCATATGTACGTTGAGGAACAAAGCTATTTTGTGCGAAAGTTTTCAAATTGATGAGTTATATAAGGTACGATATTAAATATTAAATTTTATAGTTTCACTGTAGAAAATCAGGTGGTGAGTGAGAGTCACCACGCGCAAAGGGTTAAAATTGATATTTTAAAAAAGTAAACACGGTAAGTCGGTCGATTTCTATTGAATGATACGACAATAAACATAATAAATAAATATAATATAACATATAATTCACGATAACCGCAATAAATACAACAAAATATGCAAATATTTGCATTCGCCATACAGGCGCTATTGTATATCTTCCATTGAATAATACAACAATAAACATAATAAATAAATATAATAGAAAATATAATACACGATAACTGTAATAAATCTAACAAAATATTATTAAAATATTTGCCTTCGCCATAAAGGCGCTATTGTATATCTTCCATTGAATAATACAACAATAAAAATAATAAATAAATATAACATATAATACACGATAACCATAGTAAATACAACAAAATATTACTCTACATTCTCTACCTAGCTTCTCACGTAGAATAAGTTTCATCTCGGCAGCACCACGATTTCGGAAACATCCTGTATACTCACGTGTGCGAGTGTGAGGGAGAAAGAGAGAGGAGAGTGCAAGTTTATAGACTGCGTCCGGCACGGAGACTGCGCCTTTTCTCTCTCCGTCGAGCCTGTTCACGAGCGGCCGGTATCTTGCTAGGAGTGCAGTTACACTGCACGCTCTAACGGCGTGCTGCGCTCCTTATTAATAGGTGCACTTGGAAACTGCGCCGAGGCCGGCCCGATTCACGGAGCGAAAGGTTAACAATGGGCCTGCGAGGCTGCAGCCCTGCGTGCGCCCGGAACACGGCCGAGGGGCTCAATGGCCGCGACCATTATTTATAACGCATCGTTTCAGCCGAGAAATGGCCACTGGCCGCGAGTAAATCGTTCTATCGTTTATTAACGCCGTTGTGCCCTGTGTTTTCGTGTTTCTCGATCTTCTCGCACCCCCTGCGAGGTTTTTAGGCGCAGTGAATAATGAAAGGCGACGAGAGAGCTGAGTCTTGGGATTTTGCGGACACTATAGTTGTAGCTGTTATGCTCGTGGAAATATTTAGATACATACATTGGTTACATTTTTTTTAGATTTGGAATTTCTAATGATAGTGTTTCGCTTAATTCCTAGTATAATTTAATCAATAGCTGGAAAGATACAAATTGAAGTAGCTTGTAGAACAAGAGGACTAAGGATTTCGATGGTTTCAATAGTTGAATATCTAAAAAATGATAAGTCATTTGTACCTGAAGAGCCACAAATAATTAAGTTTATAAACAAGAGGACTAAGGACTTCGGTTGTTTCAATAGTTGAATGTCTAAAATTTGATAAGTTATATGTATCTGAAGAGCTAAAAAGTTGAATATCTAAAATTTGGTAAGTCATTTGTACCTGAAAAGCTAGAAATAATTGTAGTTTACAGACAAAAGGACTAAATACTTCGAAGGTTTCAATAGTTGAATGTCTAAAATTTGGTAAGTCATTTGTACCTGGAAAGCTACAAATAATTGTAGTTTATAAACAAAAGGACTAAGGATTTCGATGGTTTCAATAGTTCAATATCTAAAATTTGATAAGTTATATGTATCTAAAGAGCTAAACAGTTGAATATCTAAAATTTGGTAAGTCATTTGTACCTGAAAAGCTACAAATAATTAGTTTATAAACAAAAGGACTAAGGATTTCGATGGTTTCAATAGTTCAATATCTAGAATTTGTTAAGTTATTTTAGATACCTTCATCAAGAAAGCTGATCGCAAGCAACGCGTGTTTTAAAAGTATTAAGGATACAGACGCTAGAGAAACTGTCCTTGTAGTTTCATAAATCTTCCTCAGACCAGCCATCGACTTCCATTCATTATACTATTCGAAGATGGTAGTTGTTGTTAACCCCGGCGAGGTGCAAGGTGCGCCGAAGGAGTCTCACATTTTAAGTGCAGCTATTAATAAGAAGCTACACCCATGGGTCCAAGTACGGCGCAGCCATGAGAGGTCCGTAGGTGTGTTAAAACGAATGGGATTCCCGCAGGGGTAAACTACATTACACTGCGGGGTGGAAAGGATTTGCTGGCCTTTGACAGAAATTAGTGTCCTCTTTTTCATTCTTCTCCTCATTGATCATCGAACACGTCTCCCACGTGTGAGTACATTGTGTGCTCGACTGTAACGCCGAAGATGGAATGATTAGACGATACTGAAAGTACTTTACAGAACAAATACAAATAAAGTAAATTAAACAAAGGAGGTGTAAGTAGAATAATAATTTCAAGAAAGAATTTGAACACCAGAACTACCGAGCTTTTAATACGATTAATATGCAATTATAAAAATTGTAATAGATTATTTTCAGTTTCTTCAGACATTCATTATAGTACTCAAACGAAACTATTTATTTTCAAAATCATTTCGAATATTCAACGCTTCGATGATATCAGTAATTGCTAAACAAACAAATCGGAACCAGTCATTTCGACTGGAACGGTAGTTCTAGTGTTAAAACCTTTACATTTTACTCAATGTACTATGGACACTGTTACAATTTTGTAGAATCCCCTCAAATTGGCGTTGTTTCTAAAAACTACCATCCCCATTTTCATCACCCATAACGCAAATTGCTTACATTTTACGAAAAATTGTTCCACCATCAGACGTCCAGGGGAGACCGTGTCGCGAAGTGACATACTTTAAATTAATTTTAATTATGAGTGCGTCAGCATGCCGGTAACTACTTTCATTTTACGGCCAGAGAATTAACGTGAAATGAGAAAGTTGCACGGGATTTCCAACTTCCCGCGGACCGGGGCCGCGTTTCTTTTCCAAAAACGATACGTCTGCCAGACATTATTTCAATCTACGATAGTTCCACGAGAGCCGTAGGTGGACGGCGTATGGCAGCCGGCTGTACTCGCCGAGTTAATTGCGCTTCGTAATTGCGAGCCGAGCCTCAGGGGGCTATTAATGTACAGGTTTTGCCGGGATCTTTTCTCGCGGGGCTTTGAATTCACCGCGGCTTTCATGCTAATCCTATATACCGTCGTTCCTACGTCGGAACAGCTCGCGGATAATTCAATCCGACAATGCTTCGGCCGGCGCCTTTCGAAAAATCCAATCACAAAACTTTCGATCCGCCGGATCGCCGGCGACGGACAATGAGAACTTCAGAAAATTTTTGAAGTTATATTCCCTGCCGTCCTAACGAGCGGGAATATTCACTTTAATTGATGCTAATTCAATCCCTGGGATTCATGGGGGTATAATTTAATCGCTTTTGAAGCGTCTTCCGCGGACAATGTGTCTATCTTGCTTTCAACGAGCTTTGAAACAAATCAATTTTTTAATACGAGCAGAGATATGATCGAAGACAAACCTATTGCCAATTTGTCTGCTACATGATAGATAAAATAGAATGAATGTATAATGGTTTGTTGAATCAGAATTGAAACTAGTTACTTTAAATCATTAGAGAAATATTGCCTTGCCCTACAACGAGTGAGACTCGCGGTGAAGATTTTCAACATGATTCAACAAATATATGTATTAATCGATACATTCGAATTCAAAGTAAATACTATTCCTCTGCAATCAACCATTATACTTAAAAGGAAATATAAGCATAACGTATGTTTAGAATTTTTCTCTTTTTCCAATAAATTATTAATGACAAAGTAACCGTATCGATCAGAGTTGAGAAAGAAATCATAGGCCAAGGGGTTAACCCTTTGCACTCCGAGCAATTTTTAATATAACCTTTCAGCAACTCCGAGTCAGTTTTAATATGAGCTATCAGCTACCAGCGTGCCTCTGTAAAAGATTTAAGACCCTGCTTTGTCATTAAAAAAGCGCGTGTACATTTCAAAGTTATGTTTGACTAAAAATGAATTATACATTTTTGCTTCTTTTCTTACTTTTAACATTTTTTTTTACTGGAATATTATTGTAAGAGAATACAGAGGTTCTTGTCTATAATCTTAATGTTTCCGAAAGTTTTCGAAACACATAGATCGTACAAGGTTTGGATAATTCCGGGCGGATTCCTCGCGGGGCGGATTCACATTCAGGCGAGCATTATTGCACGGAGGATCTGGATGTATCCCTGAAGCGGGTTGTTTTGGTTTCGATGTGCCAGATCGGAACTGATTGACGCCCTGGGATATAACCCGCGTGACCCGGAGTTAATTACGGAACCTAAGCGGACCGCAAGCTCGCGCTAAGCAGCTTGGACCGAATAGCAATTATAATTAATTAATTAGTCGTATGGGATTTGACTTAATGGATCGTCAATGATACACATTCGGATATCCCGCGGGATTCGGATACTCAACAAATCATTTAATTCCCGAATAAGCCTGCAATTTTTCCTGGAAAATTCTCCTTACCTTGTATCGTTGCCCATCTTCGAGACTGCAGAGATGTACGTGTTCCAAAGACGATCCAGATCGTTCACTCGGCAAGATAACAGAAAAAGTAATCGCGAACAAAAATCTAAAAAATAGTATTAACATAATTACTAAAAATTCTGATTCCAGTAGCGTAATTAAAAGATCCTCCACCAAAAACCGCGATGAGATTAGCTATTAAAAAAATGAATTGGAAGTGAATAATTGGCTAAATGAAAACGAATGAATAATAACGTTGCTAATAAATAAATGAGAAGCTTCAGTTCATCGATACTTAAACAGTCTGCCAAATTCCCAGTCGGCACTCGATGGGATCATCTCCCGAAGGACAGGCAGTAAGCAACGAGCATCCGCTAGCTTTGGTGTATTTTTATTAACCGAAAACCTAGGCTATAATAAAGAATGCTATGTGTATACATATCCTCTATCTATATACAATAAATCCATCTTCCGCAACGTCACCGTACAACACTTGGCAAACTCGAAACCGATCTGTTTCTCGTGTTCTGATTACCTGGCAGGAGTCACGCGTTTCAATTCAGTCAGAAAAGTCGAGTTGAAGATCCCCGGACGACGGCGCGGCCGGCCCGGCCGCTCGCAAAATGGCGGCCGCTGCGCGTGGTCCGGTCATGGTCGGACTCATACAGAGAGGGCTAGAGGATCAAAGAAACGACGAAGTCTTCTAGAAGACTGGGTCCTTAATGTAACGTTTACGGTTGCTGATCGTTCTCATTCTTTTTTCTTTTTTTTTACTCTTTTCTCTCCTTCCTTTCCATTTTTCCTTCGGACTATCGATTACGAGTAAGTGTAATATTGCTTGCGCAGCATCGCGGGAGGACAAGGTGGATCGGTCCCCGCTCGTCGCGGCATTCAGCGGCACTGATAAGGCCATTCTCGCGCGACGATACGTGTATCGCGATACACGAATGCGACGCCGTTAGAAAGTCTCTCTCCATCGTTGATATATAAAAACCTCGCATGGGAATAATAAAGAAGATAAGTATGAAATATATCGTCTATCTATTATCTACGATGTTAATCAACAATATAATCACCGTTAGTCTCGATTGCCTTAAATTTATATTAATAGAAGATTAAAATTAAGAATCTGTACCGTAGAACTGTTGAAAAATTCGAATAGACATTTTAGAGCACTCTGAACAGTATCTCCGGCGTGATTGAAACGATTCGATTCTATGCGTTGTCTGTCGGCCAGACGCGAGAAGTATCGCAGAAGTATCGTGACATCCGTATCGTCGCGCGAAAGCGGTCGAAATGTATCGTTAAGTCGCGGGCAGTCACCGTTCTCGCGCGCCGTTGGGTCGTCTCTATTTACAAAAAAGCGTCTCGTCTCGCGTAAGTAGAATCGCGAACGTCGGAACGACGAACGGTCGAAGGGGAAGTTTAAGATGGAAGGTCGACGAAGTTCAGGGGGGTTGGTATCAAGGAAACGGTATTAAAAAATCAGTCTTCGCAGGAGAGATTCGAATGTTCCAAAAATTGGGTTCGTTCGCGTCGTTGTTCGGTTCGGTGAGCTCGAAGGATCGGGCACGGCGAAAAGACTACTCGACGATCGGTCGGTCGTCTCCCGAGCGTCTCCAAAGTACTCCAGTCGACGAGTCGCTTGCCTCTCGCTACTGGCAATGAGCAACAACCACTCGCGGCTACCTTCGTTCTGGCCGCCCGTGCGAAACGGGCGTAACGTCGAGTAACTACAGTGTCTTCTGAACGTTTTGGCACGCTAGAGTCTCTTCGTACGTCTCACTGACACTTCCGGCGTTCGTCGCGTCGTTCGACTGAACGGTTCGTAAAACGTCTAACACGATAGTCTTTGATAAGACCCGACGCCTATCGGTTTTGGCACTTCTCGTTTAATTGAACTCCCTCGATCGGACGTCCGCCTATCATCGTCCTAGCTACTTCAACGAACAAAAACAAGGTCCATCCGTGGAGCAACGTGAGCTGGCCGTGTTCCGTCACGGCAGATGAATCGGTACAGCTCTGAGCAAGAGAAACTGCGGAGGACACCGGGTGATCCACGATCGGGCTAACGGACGATCACGTTGGTTAGCCGAAGATCCCGTCGCAGCTGGGCATGCTGTTCATCTCGATGGCCCGGTGATCAGTCTCTTTGCGATACTCCTTCGGCTTGTGCTACGAGTTCAGGGGCGTGGTGCCGATGTTGCTGATGAAGCTGGGACAGGCGTTGTCCGCCCTGTCGCCGCTCTGCAGCGAGAAATGCCTGTACGACGTGTACGCGTGCGGGTTCGAGGACAACGGCTGGTCCCTCTTCTCCGTGGACCTCTGCTTCTTCATCTTCATGTATCCCAGCACCAGGATCAGCACCACGAACACCACGAAGCCCATGCCGCTGCCCACTATCAGACCCAGCCTCCTCGTCAGGATCGTCGCCAATCCGCCCCTGTCGCTCATCGTGCCGTCCCCGTCGATCGAATCCGGCGCCTCCAGCGTTCTGACGTCCGTGCATCGGCTGGTCAGCGAGTCCACCATCACCGGCAACGCCGAGCCCTCGATCACGTCGTCGTGGGACGCGTTCCACTGCCAGGAACCGATGTCCTCCGGGATCGGCGTTCCCCAGCTGCCCAGACCGAGCACGCAAATCCGGTAGCGGGTGTTCGAGGCCAGCTTCGTCAGCTTCACCGAACGAGACTTCGGGTCCAGCACCTTGCCTCGTACCTGGGGATTAATTGATTAGATGGTTTTGCAGCTGGAAGTCCTCTTGTCTCGTTTCAGCGGGAACTCTAGGCGAGATTTATGTATTTGTAGCGTATCGGAATGTTCGAGAGGCTAATTAATCCCTTGGCCTATGATTTCTTTCTCAACTCTGATCGATACGGCTACTTTGTCATTAATAATTTATTGGAAAAAGAGAAAAATTCTAAGCATATGTTATGCCTATATTTCCTTTTAAGTATAATACTTCATTACAGAGGAATAATATTCACTTTGAATTCGTATGAACTGAGCAATATGTATATTTGTTGAATCATGTTGAAAATCTTCACCACGAGTCTCAGTCGTTGTAGGGCAAGGGGATAATAGTGAACTTTAGCGATACTTCAGCTGATAAAATATAAAACGTGCAGTTGAATATTTGTAGTTAACCCCTTGCCTTATCACGTGTTAGGCTCGTGAAGGTTTTCAATATGACTTAACGAACATGAATATTACTCAATTCATTCGAAGTAAATATTATTCTTCTGTGATCGATCATACTCAACCACTTGTGGTGGAAAGACGATTGTCACAGAAATGTCAATTTTCCAAATTGATTTGAAAAATATCATAATATGAGAGATTATTAATAAACAAATTTAGTATTTACACGTGTGTAATTTCATCACCAGTTGATGCGTTTTTATATTCTCTTCTGGAACACGGCGAACTCCGTGTGATGCCTCGCAGCGAGTTACAGTTGACTGCTCTGGCACGTGTGAATTTCTTTACACCGCAAGTGGTTAACCCATTTGCATCACATAAAAAAGTGGAGAATCCTCACCACCACAAATGTTTCAATTGCATTAAAATAAGAATGGTCCGGAACGTATAAAAAAGTAAAAACTTATATAGCCATACTGCAGTTATTGCACTCATAAAATGTATCTTTCCCTTTTTTTGTGATATACAAATTACACAACGGTGGCATATATGCGCTTATGATGCGAATGGGTTAAAAACAAACGTAAATATAGAAAATTCCTAGAATTGTCCTCTTTTCCCAATAAATCATTAATGCCGGAGTATCAGAGTTGAGAAAGAACTCACTCGGCAAGAGGTTAATATTATATACTAAAAAAAGGTATCTCAAAGCGAGATACAGAAATGAAATTGCAATAAAGAAAATTCGAAATGTTTCTTATTCAGAATATACGAGATTGTTGAAAATTTCATCAGTTATTCCAAAGTGCATCGTCGTGGTTCGCGTAGGACAATCGTCGGACAATCGCGAGCTTAATTCAGGCTACCGGGGAATAATAATGAACCAAGATGAAATCTTGATACCTCCATTAGCGGACTCACCTCGTCGACGTTGTCCCGAGCGTGATACGCCACTTGGTAGCCGTGGAGGCCGGAGTGATTCCTGCTCTGCCACGAGACGAGGACGGAGAACGGCTGGATGTCTTGAATCGCGAGCTTCAGGATCAGCGGCGTGGAGCAGAAGGCGTGTGGGTCGAGATCGAGGAAAACCAGACCCCTCAGTTCAGGCGGTTGCTCGCATCTCAGCAGACCGCCCTCGACGTTCCCGACTCCGACGCCGTTTCTTCCGCGGCCACGGCCGCCATCCACTCCGCTAACTAGCTTCTGATGGTCTCTCAACCATTCCCAGAGTTCTTGCGACTCGCAGTCGCAGGTCAACGGATTTTCTGCGAACATTCACCGAACGGTCGGCTTACTCTTGCCCGGCAGTCGCCCCGTTTTGATGTAATTGGTCCCCCTAGATGGGGACGCTGTGTCATTGGTGTCGTTGAATCGCCGGAGGATACGGGCAACTTTCAATGTCTTCGGATGAAGGATTTAGAGGATTATAGAAGCAAATAGAAATAGAAGTGGAGGAATAGAAATAGATAGAAATGACTAGATATTAATAGAACAGATGCAACTCTCATAGTAAAAATAGAAATAGGAATTAGTAACTTTCGAGCAACTTCTCGCAGTCTCCGGAACAGTGTTTCTCAACCTTTTTTGTGCTCCATCTTTCTAAAATTCTTATGTCTCCCTATGTAAAATGATATATATATATATATAGTTGGCGACTTAGTCTTCGAAACATCAACGTCGACATTCGTCCGCAAAGGGTTAAAAATCAAATTAGGACGTTGAGAAACACTGCTCCAGAAGCATCTTTCACGAGACAGTGAAAGCCGGATTAAAGAGAGATCGAGAGTTTCAAAGATGTCCAGTGGAACTTGTCACATTAGAATCTTACACAGAAAAATGTAAGTTTGGGAATGTAGATTTTCATTAAGCTATTGTAATTATGCTTGCACTTGATTAGCATGAGCGCGCGTAGGTGGGGCTCGCATAGCTCAGGAAAGACTGGGTTGCCCGAAACCGTCGGGGCATCGATCCGAAACAGCATGCAGACAGGTCCACGGGGGTTCCATTAGATTTGGAAAATCTTTCGAGGGTGGCGGGGGAGGCGATTAGGAGTAGCGGCAGCTGGCGGTCGCCGCGCGATACTTCCGAGGGAGTGAAGTTCGCAGAGACTTGCTCGCGGCGGGATGAGACGAAATGGCAGAGCGTGTTTGATTGTCCCGATGTTGAGTATCGATTCGGGACTATTGTACGTGACCAGCGATATGATTGGATTTCCAGCAGTAGTAACTCCATTTGGATCGATACGTACACTGTTATTCTCTCCGCCTCGCGTGTCCCTTGAATAAAAGCAGCTCTAGCAAATGAAACATTGATGCCGCATCAATCAGATCACCCTTTACAGTTTTTCATACCTTTTACAACGCTTCCCTCGGTGACTATTAATTGCTATGATAAATGACGCTCTGGCGAATCGATTAATTAATGCACGTTCTTGAGGATCTTTGTTGAATCGTAGATTAACACGTTAATCGCCATGTCAGTCATTGGTGACTGACGCTTCTGAATGACTAGAAAACAATCGTAACGTACAGGATAACCAATGTGAAATGAAAATGTTTAATAACGTAACTAAGTTAATAATAGTGTAATGCAAACATTGTAACGTCAGATAATTAATAATTGTTCCCGCTTTTCTTTGTTACAAAAGAAAAACTCTACGGGAAAACACTTAAAATTTTCGTGGCGCTTAACGTGTTAACAAATTCGAGAGGATACTGTTGACAATGTCGGACAAGTTTTGACTTATCGATAACAGGGAGACGGTATTTTTGAGAATTTACTACAGTCGAGGCATCGAATTCGCGAGAGTTGAACGCATGATTTGAAACGGAATTGATTGTTCGATATTCAATGTTTCGGAGCATGTTTTATGCAGCGTTGGGTCTGTGCAATTGCACGAGTTCGCGACGAGGTAATTAATAAATAGAGTGCGAGCCATTATGCACATACAAATTTCTATAGATTAATTTATTGTAATTGGAACGGCAGAAATGAAGTATCTTGTGAATGCATCTAATTCACGGTTTGGTGATTAACCCTTGGCACTCCAGGTTGTTTTGTAATCTATCAGCGACTGCAACTGATTTTTATAGTATTCTTAGCGAAAATTAGAAATGCTATAAGATTCCTTCGATCTCTTGTTTTCCTTGTTAGTACAAAATTTGAATGTGCGGAAAATCGAATAATCTTAGGGTAGTTTCCTTAAGATTCATTCAAATATTTAATATTACAACTGGTGCAATATTGGAGCCTACAGAGTTCAAAGGGTTAACGTTTCTATATAGTCTGAGATAATATCGTTCGAAAACGTCTGAGATTTAACAAAACTCTAGATCCGTTAATAGCAGTCCATCAGACCAGTTTAAAACTCCATTCAATTTCAATCGAGGAAGCAGTGACTGTTCGATCGTTAGGAGATATCATATAATCTTAGAGTAGTTTCTTTAAGATTCATTAAAATATTTAATGTTATAACTCGTGCAACATTGTAGCCTACACAGTTCAAAGGGTTAAACTGGACTGAAGAATAGTTAACGAGGTTAATCGACATTACCTTTCCACGATTTTTAGTCGGGTCTGCCTTACCTTCGGCTCGTAGGCTCCGTATCTGGGTCTCCAGGGGTCGGAAAACGTTCAGCGGCAGGTTCGCCAAATAATTTCTGCTCAGGTCCAACAGCCGCAGCTTCTTCAGCGATCTGAACGCGTCGCTGAAGATCGCGTTGATCCAATTACCGTACAGGTGCAACTCCACCAGACTAACCAAGTTCTTGAACGTGACCTTGCCGACGATGCTAATCTGATTATACGAGAGATCGAGAATCTGCAACGACTTCAGGTCTTCCGGAAATTCCTCGAGTTCCTTCAGCCTGTTGTGAGTCAAGTTTAGAATCCTCAAGTGCTCCATGCCCTGTAGCCTCTCTTTCGGCAGGATTTCCAAACTGTTCATCCCTAGGTGTAGCGTCAACAAGTTCGGCAAACTCCTGAACGCACCTGGCGAGACCCTTAGTATACAGTTCTGATCGAGATACAAGTGCAACAGAGCTGGGAACGCCTCGAAGTCCTGGGACGTGACAATGCTCAAATTGGTGCCGGATATATGGACTTCCTGTAGAATCGGGTACATATCGTCCGACGGAGGATCGTGGATCCTGTTCAAAGGATTCCTCGTTAGATTCAGCCAGGTCAAGCCGGGAAGTTTCTGCCCGGATAATCCAACTGCCGGGATCTGGCCGAATTTGTTCTCCGACAAGTCGACTCTGCGCAGCATGGACGAGTGCACGAAGAAGTTGGCTGGCAACGCGCTCAGATGATTGTGGCTGAGGTCCACCGAGGTGAGCAGCGACAGATTGGCCATGGCGAAGCCGGTCATCTTCTCGATTCGATTATGGCTGAGGTCCAGCTCCCTCAGATGTTTCAAGCTGGCAAAGCTGGCCACGTCCACGTTCACGATTTCGTTGTAGGACAGCGACAGGATCTCCAAATTCAGAGCGTTCGCTAGAGCAGAATAGGGGATATCCTGGAACCGGTTGTGGTCCATTCGGATTTCCCTGAAGGACAGCAGCCTGTCGAATATACCAGGTGGCAGGTTGCGTAGTCGATTCCTGTTCAGATTCAACCGCGCTAAGTTTGGATTCAACACGAAGATAGTCTCTGGCAGCTGAGCGATTTGCGCGTCGTCCAGTAACAGTTCCTGCAACGATGGCAGCCTATTCAAACTGTGCTCTGAGATTTTGCTGAAGTTGTTTCCTGACGCTGCCAGGGTACGCAGTTCAGGGATATGTAGATTCAACAAGGCAGAAGACGTCAGCAAGTTGTCTTCGAGGTTCAGGTCGAACAGACTGTCGAGTCCCTGGAAAGCTCCGCTCTCTATAGTCATGATAGAGCAATTCTTCAAGTTCAGTGTCCTGATGGGTAGACCTTCTTGGAACGTGTAGTCCTGTAGAACAGTCAGATGATTGTTAGCCAGGTCTAGCACCTTGAGCTTCTTCAAGGCTGTCAGAGCGTAAGGATCCAACCGCTCCAGGCCGTTATCTTGAAGATACAGCTCTTCGAGTTCGTGCAGCTCGGAGAAGGTTCTAGCAGTGATGTGACTGAGTTTGTTCATGCTCAGCTCTAGAAACTTCAGCGCCTGCATCGGCTGGAAAGCGCCGTCTTCTATCTTAGAGATCGAGTTGTTGGTCAAGTACAGTCTCTCGACTAGCAGCAAATCCCTGAATAAAGGTGCTTGAAGATGCGTCAGTCTATTATGACCCAGCCACATGATCCTAACAGAAGCTTGCCCTCGTAGAGAGTCGTTGTGCAGCACAGCAAGACCGTTGCTGTCCAGCTGAATAGATACCAAGGAACTGCCGCTGGACGATGATTCCGATGCGGACAGCTGGAAGACGTCACCTAGGGCAGTCAGCTGGTTGCCTTGCAGGTTCACGTGCTGCAAGCTGTTCAAAGTCTTCAGCGCGCCGGTCTCCATGTCCGTGATAGCGTTATTTTGCAGATGCAGCTCCAGCAAAGACGGCAAAGGCGAGAAAACTCCGCGCTTCACTTCGGTGATCTGATTGTCCTGCAAGCGGAGCTCCCTCAGCTGAGTCAGATTGAGGAACGTGCCCGGCTGCAGCTCTCTGATCTTGTTCCCGTCGAGGGAGAGGGACGAGAGGTTCACGCAGTGCTCGAAGAACTCGCGGGGCACCTTCTCGATGTAATTGTTGCTCAAATGCAGTTGGCCTAACTTCCTCAGGCTGGTGAGACCTCTGCCGTCGATCCTGCGGATCGCGTTCAGCTGCAGGTAGACGACCTCGAGGCTCACGCTGTCGATGAAAGCGTCGCCCGGTATTTCTAGTATATTATTCTCCGCCAGGTACAACTCCTTCAGACCGGGTAACCTGGCGAAAACACCGCCGATGTAGTGGATGTGATTGTGGCTGAGCTCGATGTTGCTCAGCTGCTTGTTGCCCTTGAACGTCGCTACATCCAAGAACACGATCTTGTTGCGACTGAGATCGATGAACTCCAGATCCTTCAGCGAAACGAACGCGTCCTTGTGAATGGTCTCTATCGAGTTGTAATACAGAGAGAGTGTGTGTAAAATGGGGCAAGCTCTGAAGCAGTCCTCGGTTAGCTTCTCGAAGTTATTGCTGCTCAGGTCCAGGACCACCAACGAGCTCAGCTGACTGTACCTGTCGTCGGGCAGCTCGGAGATTTCGTTCCAGGCTAGAATCAGGGAAGCTAAACTCTCCAGTCTCCTCAAAGGCGCCATAGGGAACATGTTCAGCTTGTTCTCGGCCAGGTTCAGGTCGGTCAAGCTGTTCTCCAAGCCGGCGAAAGCGTACTCGGATATCTTCGATATCTGGTTACCCTTTAGCGTCAACTTTATCAGCTTCAGACCGTAGAAACAGTAGGACGTCAGCTCTTGTATCAAATTGGCCTCGAGGTCCAACGCGGCCAGCAATGGCAGCTTCGCCAACGATTTCTGCGGCACGTGAGGCAAACGGCTCGACACCAACGCCAACGACTCCAGGCTGCCGTTCAGGTTCCTGAACGCGTTCTCGCTAATCTCCCGCAGAGAGGACTGCGAGATCTGCAGGTGTCTGATCTGCGAGTCCACCGGGAAACAGCCGTCTTTCAATTCCTCCACGGTTTTGTCCAGCTCGTAAACGTTCAACGACTGCACCATCGTGCCCGCCCCTGCAAAACGCGCTCGTAAACGGTCGCCGCCATTCATTTCATTAAGCTGCGATAACGCGGAGTTTAGATTTCGCCGCGTCGCCGACGGACACCGGGGCTTTACTGCAGACGTAAAAGATAATGAATTCCTGGATGGGGTTGTTCAACGGTTGTCCGGCCCGATACACGTGTTTTGTGACGCGTTCCGCTAACTGTAGCTAACGCGACGGCGAAAGGACGATTTCTATTCTGCAATGAGACACTTTCGCTTTGATCTGAACGCATCTAAGTATTCTTCGTTACTTTGCAATGATAATTTATCCGAATCTCTAAATCAACGAGTTTCCATGCACGAAGTTTAAAATCCAATAAAACCGATCACTCTTAAATGGGTCATTCTATATTATCCCTATCTCTCCGAATACCATTAATCACGTCATTCCGCCCGCTATTCTGATCTATTCGCATTCCGAATGAAACGCGTTCGATTCGCCGATTACATAAAACAACGCGTCCCTGATCGACGGTACACCGGCTCGTTAGGCGATCAGGGGGGCGGGGACACGCAGGGGTGGAAACGTTTATCCGTCCGCGCTTTAAAATCACCCATTAAACGCTAATTAATTTTCCATTCTACGTGTTCGCACAAAAACGACACTGTTATCCCGATTATAGCGACCATCTCCGCGGGTATTATCGTGTACCGGTGCCCGCGGTATTGCTCGAGGGTCGTTCGGTTAATAAATGAAAATTGGACATCGTCGTT